CCCAAAGGTCGTTGGATCGAGACCAACAAGTGCTATCGCTTATCCACCCGTACTGCGTTTTACTTGCTACATCGTTTTGACCACATCTGACATCATCTGGCTTTCAGACTGTCCTGCACCGTTTGCAGACATCGGTAGCTGTATTTTTGCGTCGTTGCCAAGCATCTAGGAGCCACATCATCCATATCAGTCAGTTGTGAGAGGTGACCCAAGGATCATGTCTCGTCATACGTGAACCAATGAGAACGGCTGTTGTGCGACCATTAAGGCGCAACTACCATCTACACAGCGTGCACAGTGGTATGATACGCCAATGGTGCACGCGTTTTGTGGCTGTTATTCGTATCGACGCGATGACAACACGTTGTAAAGACAGCGGTCTGTCCAGACTTAAGTGGGCATATCTGTGGAGTGCAGAGTCGGTAGATGGCGCGGAATGTCGGTCCGGGCAGAGTGCACGCGTGTGACTCGGTGTAGTGGTGTGAGGGTGTTGTTGGTGTTTTGGTTTGTTTGGTGGGGTTGGGGGGGGGGGGGGGGGCTTTCAGACTGTCCTGCACCGTTGGCAGACATCGGTAGATATACTTGCGTCGTTGCCAAGCATCTAGGAGCCACATCATCCATATCAGTCAGTTGTGAGAGGTGACCCAAGGATCAAGTCTCGTCATGCTTGAACCAATGAGAACGGCTGTTGTGCGACCATTAAGACGCAACTACCATCTACACAGCGTGCACAGTGGTATGATACGCCAATGGTGCACGCGTTTTGTTGCTGTTATTCGTATCGACGCGATGACAACACGTTGTAAAGACAGCGGTCTGTCCAGACTTAAGTGGGCATATCTGTGGAGTGAAGAGTCGGTAGATGGCGCGGAATGTCGGTCCGGGCAGAGTGCACGCGTGTGACTCGGTGTAGTGGTGTGAGGGTGTTGCATTGGCTGATTTTGTGTGTGTTTGGGTAATGATGTGTGCCGAGCAGCACTTTGGCGCAGAGGAAGCGTGTTGGGCTCATAACCCAAAGGTCGTTGGATCGAGACCAACAAGTGCTATCGCTTATCCACCCGTACTGCGTTTTACTTGCTACATCGTTTTGACCACATCTGACATCATCTGGCTTTCAGACTGTCCTGCACCGTTTGCAGACATCGGTAGCTGTATTTTTGCGTCGTTGCCAAGCATCTAGGAGCCACATCATCCATATCAGTCAGTTGTGAGAGGTGACCCAAGGATCATGTCTCGTCATGCTTGAACCAATGAGAACGGCTGTTGTGCGACCATTAAGGCGCAACTACCATCTACACAGCGTGCACAGTGGTATGATACGCCAATGGTGCACGCGTTTTGTTGCTGTTATTCGTATCGACGCGATGACAACACGTTGTAAAGACAGCGGTCTGTCCAGACTTAAGTGGGCATATCTGTGGAGTGAAGAGTCGGTAGATGGCGCGGAATGTCGGTCCGGGCAGAGTGCACGCGTGTGACTCGGTGTAGTGGTGTGAGGGTGTTGTTGGTGTTTTGGTTTTGGAATGTGTGGGGTTTGGGGGGGGGGCGGTTTCAGACTGTCCTGCACCGTTGGCAGACATCGGTAGATATACTTGCGTCGTTGCCAAGCATCTAGGAGCCACATCATCCATATCAGTCAGTTGTGAGAGGTGACCCAAGGATCAAGTCTCGTCATGCTTGAACCAATGAGAACGGCTGTTGTGCGACCATTAAGACGCAACTACCATCTACACAGCGTGCACAGTGGTATGATACGCCAATGGTGCACGCGTTTTGTGGCTGTTATTCGTATCGACGCGATGACAACACGTTGTGAAGACAGCGGTCTGTCCAGACTTAAGTGGGCATATCTGTGGAGTGAAGAGTCGGTAGATGGCGCGGAATGTCGGTCCGGGCAGAGTGCACGCGTGTGACTCGGTGTAGTGGTGTGAGGGTGTTGTTGGTTTTGGTTTATTGGGGGGACTTTCAGACTGTCCTGCACCGTTTGCAGACATCGGTAGATATACTTGCGTCGTTGCCAAGCATCTAGGAGCCACATCATCCATATCAGTCAGTTGTGAGAGGTGACCCAAGGATCATGTCTCGTCATGCTTGAACCAATGAGAACGGCTGTTGTGCGACCATTAAGACGCAACTACCATCTACACAGCGTGCACAGTGGTATGATACGCCAATGGTGCACGCGTTTTGTTGCTGTTATTCGTATCGACGCGATGACAACACGTTGTAAAGACAGCGGTCTGTCCAGACTTAAGTGGGCATATCTGTGGAGTGAAGAGTCGGTAGATGGCGCGGAATGTCGGTCCGGGCAGAGTGCACGCGTGTGACTCGGTGTAGTGGTGTGAGGGTGTTGCATTGGCTGATTTTGTGTGTGTTTGGGTAATGATGTGTGCCGAGCAGCACTTTGGCGCAGAGGAAGCGTGTTGGGCTCATAACCCAAAGGTCGTTGGATCGAGACCAACAAGTGCTATCGCTTATCCACCCGTACTGCGTTTTACTTGCTACATCGTTTTGACCACATCTGACATCATCTGGCTTTCAGACTGTCCTGCACCGTTTGCAGACATCGGTAGCTATATTCTTGCGTCGTTGCCAAGCATCTAGGAGCCACATCATCCATATCAGTCAGTTGTGAGAGGTGACCCAAGGATCATGTCTCGTCATGCGTGAACCAATGAGAACGGCTGTTGTGCGACCATTAAGGCGCAACTACCATCTACACAGCGTGCACAGTGGTATGATACGCCAATGGTACACGCGTTTTGTTGCTGTTATTCGTATCGACGCGATGACAACACGTTGTAAAGACAGCGGTCTGTCCAGACTTAAGTGGGCATATCTGTGGAGTGAAGAGTCGGTAGATGGCGCGGAATGTCGGTCCGGGCAGAGTGCACGCGTGTGACTCGGTGTAGTGGTGTGAGGGTGTTGCATTGGCTGATTTTGTGTGTGTTTGGATAATGATGTGTGCCGAGCAGCACTTTGGCGCAGAGGAAGCGTGTTGGGCTCATAACCCAAAGGTCGTTGGATCGAGACCAACAAGTGCTATCGCTTATCCACCCGTACTGCGTTTTACTTGCTACATCGTTTTGACCACATCTGACATCATCTGGCTTTCAGACTGTCCTGCACCGTTTGCAGACATCGGTAGCTATATTTTTGCGTCGTTGCCAAGCATCTAGGAGCCACATCATCCATATCAGTCAGTTGTGAGAGGTGACCCAAGGATCATGTCTCGTCATGCGTGAACCAATGAGAACGGCTGTTGTGCGACCATTAAGGCGCAACTACCATCTACACAGCGTGCACAGTGGTATGATACGCCAATGGTACACGCGTTTTGTTGCTGTTATTCGTATCGACGCGATGACAACACGTTGTAAAGACAGCGGTCTGTCCAGACTTAAGTGGGCATATCTGTGGAGTGAAGAGTCGGTAGATGGCGCGGAATGTCGGTCCGGGCAGAGTGCACGCGTGTGACTCTTTCAGACAGGCCTAAGCTCTTCTTCTCAAAGTGGCCTTCCAGCCGCGACCATGCATCGTACGCTCCACTTGCCGACCGGACCAGGGGCAGCTGCGAGTCCTCCATCGCAAGACAGATTATCGCGAGCGCCTTCCTTGACTTGCGTTTGAACGTTGACTGATCCAGCGTAGTGGCAAGGTGTTCCAGCTTGATCTCCCCGCTTGTCACTTCCCAAAGGTCCCGCTCCTCCAGCACCATCTGCAACAAGTTTGATGGTTCGAACTTGGAAGTTCGAACCATCAAACTTGTTGATGCGAGCGTTGGTGGCGGTGGCAGCGTCCATGTTGAAGGCGAAGTCGGCGTCGGGGGCAGAGTCAGCAGAGCTTGGGCTCATAACCTGTTGTTAAAGCACTTGAGCTGTAGAAAACAAAATGCAAAGTGAATATATTTAGGTCCTTAGTTCACAAACTCTGTTGCTACTCTAAGCCTACTGGATTCTTCGACTACACGTTTCTAATCGCTATATCGCGCATTACTCATGGGATAGCCGCACATGAGTAATCTACTCTACACACATGACTCATCAGATAGTCACTCATGAGTAATCCACGCTAGTGGTATTACTCATGGGATAGGCGCACACCTAACTAATCAGACCGTACATTCTTGTGGTTGCCGTTTGCATGCCGAGTCGCTTCTTTTACAACAAAAATGACATTGCTTGTAGCTAGACGGACTACAATAGGCTCAGCTAGTGTTTTACTAAGAGTTTATGAGACGCACATTTGTAGAATAAGCGCCTTGTGTGCGACTGATCCAAGCCACCATTGCTTCCTAAAGGCTATAGAAAAATGCTACGAAGACTGTTTGTTGATTCAGTTTTTTTTAATGTCTAAAAGAATGGTCGTTCCATTGCGTTCTTCTTGTCACAGCGCTGAGTTCTTTGTCGACAGTACCATGGAAGATGGGTTCACGACAGTCGTGAGGATCAGCCTGTCTATTAACTCCTTATGATTCATGAAGATATGTTTGGGAGGAAAAATATATCCCTGATCTTCTGCCTGACGACGTCGTTTTCCTCTGCACTAGCTCATTGTACTGGCCAAACCCGACGGGCTTCACGGAAGACACTCTAAAAGGGCGTGTGGGCACGTGGGGGCAGCCTTTGAAAGTGAGACCAGGTACCAAACCGGCTGTCTTAGACGGACCAGCCTGCCTGATCCCTGACCAGCAGCTCCGGTTGGAATCGGAATGAACAGAATCACCTTCTAGAGAAGTTCGCTTCGTGATATTGGGAGTTGCGCTCGCCGAACGGGCCGGCGACTAGATGCATACGTCAGGAACTTGTTGATGTCTGTTTGTTGCTTTGTTGACATGCTTTACACCTCTTTTACAGACGGGCCCAAAATAAAGTCATATAGTGTGGTCCACCTCCATTTGGAATTGTACCCCCTTCGTGCGACATCTATATAACATGTCCACGTGGCCTTCGATTCGTATTCGAGTCTAATTTTGCGTCATTTCCAATCTGACAATCTTAATGGGACGAACGGTGCTTCACGATCCGAGTTTCCGAGATTCGAGTTTTCTCAACCTCGCAATCTGCATTGGCGGTATCTACATTTGCTACCTCAGTTATGGCATTTTCCAAGAAAAAATGTATGTTGCTTGACGCTTTCGTACTAAAAATTGGACACAATACTAATACTAATAACGATTGTCGTCTGTAAAAATTGCCAGTTTTACGTACCGTTCACCCAGTGGTAATAAGTTCACGGCGACGCTCTTTATGCTATTCGTGCAATGTTTTACCAACTCATTAGTGGCTTACGCTGCCACGTTTGTGTGGAAACCCAAACGTTCCCGTATGCCACTGGCCCCATTTGCTTTCACTGCTGCAGCCTATTTGGGCGCTATGCTCTGTAGTAATGAGGCACTTAAACACGTAAGTTTTCCCACTCAAGCTCTGGGTAAATCATGCAAGATGATTCCCGTGATGCTCATGGGCGTACTTATTCGTCGTAAAAAGTACACGCTCCGGGACTACATTTGTGTCGTGGTCATCACGTCGGGTATCGCCGTGTTTCAATTGGGCAAAGGATCAGCTAAACACGCAGAAAGGGAGAACAGTACGTATGGTTTACTGCTGCTCTTCTTGTCGCTGACATTGGACGGCATCTCGGGACCCAAGCAGGAGGAAATTGCACACCAATTACGTCCTTCGGTGCACCAGCAGATGCTCAATACAAACATTTGGGCCGTCATCTACACAGGAGTGGGTGCATTGGTCACGGGTCAAGCGCTCGAGGGTCTTATGTTTTGTATCGAGAATCCAGCCATCCTCAATTCGGTCTTTTACTTCTCCGTGTGCAGTGCATTGGGCCAGAACTTCATTTATTTTACCATCCAGCAATTCTCGGCGCTTACGTGCACGACGATCACCACGACGCGCAAGTTTTTTACGATCTTGTTCTCGGTGGTCTGGTACGGCCACGAACTTAGCGTCATGTCGTGGCTGGGTGTAGCCGTCGTGTTTGTTGGTTTGGGATGGGAGCTATCGAGCAAATACCGGAAGTACCAAACGCAGAGTGCTAAGTTTACTTAAAGCTGTCGAAAGTAGTGTTAGACACAACTTCTCATCAAAAGAACGTTTCAATGCACTTACCTGCTTGATAAATACTGGTTGTAAGCGACTGGGTCTCTCTATGTTATAGTACTGCAAAGGACTTTTCCATCGTCAGGTATTTTTACTCTTGGTCGAACTTGAGGCTTCGTACTCGTTGAGTATGACCGTGTATTTAGCGACTGGGTGCGAGTTCTAGCAGGAATGGCGGCTCGCTGATTGCAGGTGGGGAAAGTGGAACTGTTTGAGATCGATTGCTTTGTTGGACAACGCACAGTACCCAAGTCTAGGTGCATGAGGCCAGTGTCTGTGTTCATCATATCTAGCAAGAGATTCTTGAGGTCTTCGCCAAGTATGCTGAGGTCATACTCACCATCTTCATTTTCCAGCCAGCGCGATACTTCTTTTCGAAGCACCGCTAGCAAATTAGGGTAGTGCTTGGCTGCCATCTTGCGAAAGCGCTCCTCGTCTAGTAGCCTGTGTGAATTGCCAAACAAGCGATCCTTCTGACTCGCATGTGCTTCAAATTCAGCGAGCTTTGCCTTGAACTCGTTAATTCTGTTAAATATCTTCATGATTTTCTGCAACGATTGTAGCCGATTTTGCGCACTATTTACCGTAATTTCCACTTCTTGCTTGTCTGCAACTGAAGTGCGAAGTCTCTGCAACTGCAGGTCTCCGAAGGAAACTGAGTACGTGTCGTGCAATTTCTCATATATGGGATCAAGTCTGGACAGGAATGAATCGCTGCAGTTTAGCGGTCTTTCCTCGGCTGCTGGATCCAAATTGTTCTTCTCACATGACACGCTTAATGCATTGGATAATGACATTGCGTACTTGTCTAGAATGGCGCGCCGGGCCGTCTGTTCTCCGTCCTTGCAGCCCAAGTAGAAGCTAACGCGCTGCTCCTCTGTGTCGATGCCAAAGGATGCAAAGTCATCGTTCATCGAGTAAAAAAGACTGCGTAATGGCCTCTCTACAGGCTCGCTTAGAGTATCAATTATGCCCTTACCAGCAACAAGAGCGTCCACTAAGCACTCATTGTCTCGCGGAAAAGTTAGGTGGTGATAGCGTGTTGAACCTTCTTCGCCACTGGCAGTTGAGTCCTGGGTCAGCATTGCAGCTTCTTCTACAGTTCTACAGAGGTAATCCAGCGCGTTCAACCGCCCTGCTTGTACCTCCTCAAAACCTCTAAGCACCTTAGCAAAGACTTCCAGCCCTCGCTTGCTGACATCAAGTTGTCCACCCGTCTCCAAAATTCGAGCACAAAGATCCTCATACACCATTCTGTTAGCATCTATCTCCCCCTCCGAAAAGCCCTCTTTATTGCGTAAGGCGTGAACCACCGACATTATGTCATCTTGAGATAATTGAGATTTACGTGCCACCGTCCTTATAGTCTTTAGATATTCCTCCACCTCTGCAATCCGCTTTGCCTTTTCTTTCAGTAAAATTTTATAAAGATGCTCGTCTCGCTGTACACATGAACGGGACATATCGCCCTCCTCACCTAGGTAATCCAAAATTTGATCAAGTGCATCCGCAGACTCCTTTCTTTTATAAAACCTCTTCCAAACGTCCAATTCCACATTTTTTGACGTAGCAAAATTCGCGCTAATAGCATCAAGGTCATCTTGAGAGACATGACGAAAATCGTCTGCCACTTTGATTTGAAGATTCGACGCTAGCTCCCGAATGCCCTCAGAAAATCGAATACGAGCACTTACGTGGCCCCACAACTCACGTGACAGACGCTTTTGTAGCGAGAGTATATATTTCTCCTGTTCAAGAAGTGTCCCTCCAGCATCTGAAGGAAAGAGTTGGATATCCACTGGATTGACCACGTGCAAGACCGCTTCCATCCGACCAACGACACGGTAGGCGTCGCTAATCCGAGTTTGAATCTTTTCTCTGGCAGCTTCAAGGCCTTCCAACTCTTCAGAGCACTTTTTCATCAAGAATTCGTTAATGTCTTGGAACTTGCTGATCTGATCTTCTTCATTCAAGCCCAGTTCTTGCCGAATCTTCTGGCATTTCTGACAGTATAATAACAAAAAAGTTATTAAAATAGACTCAATAGATAAGACTACATACACACAAACAATCTCACACTCATCAAACACAAAGATTCCTCCTTACGCTCCATGCTCTTCGCTGAGGCTTGAAAATGGTCCAATTCCAGACGCATAATCATCATTTCGTTCTCCCTTTCCGTCAATTGAGCGACGAGCATCTTTTCACGCTCTTCTAACAGAGCGATTTTGCTCATTTCGCCTGATTGTCCTGACGATTCGTGCACTTGTAAATGCTCACCCACTCTGACTGCATCGTTAAAACTTGTCACCATTTGAAAAGCGCAGTGGAGGTCCTTTTCATATTTTGCTTCCAGATTTTCCACCTTTGCATCCATGTCGATCTTCATCGCAGCTCGATTTTGGTTTATGGCGTCCTCTACCTCTCCTTGCTGCCTTAATTTCTCCTCTTCGTCGGCCAACATGTAAATTCGCCAGCGAGAATACATCTCGACAATAAGTATTCGAATCAGGTCTTTCGCTGCGTCTAAGGACTTAATCGAATCGAGCATTTCAGCCATTGACGCTCGCTGACCCCGCCTAGCGTACATAGCATCGCGAATCTGGGATATGCTATCCTCGCAGCCTTTCAGATTTTGCTCATTCTTTTCCATAAACTCTTGTTCGGTCATCTCCCCACGATGACAAGACCCCAGCCCGGTCGTAATATTCTTAAGCAGCTGCGCTCGCTTTCGTAAATCTTTGTTCATGGAAGCCTCAAGAACTTCGTTGTCAAACGCGATCTACAGTATCATAAAGAAGTTGTATTCAATGAAACGATACGGATGTACAGTGCATACGAGAGAAATAAACACATACCCGAAGCTGTTCCTGAATCATCGATAACATGTTGTGGGCTTGAGATGAAGATAACTCTCCCTTCATGAACAGAGGTGACATACACAAGATTGCGTCGCCACCTTCATTGATGAAGGCCGCCATTTCCTTTTCTTCGTCCTTCAGGTATTCAGAAATGCTGTCAAGATCGTAGCCGTCAAAGCGAACCTGCAAAAACTATAATAAATATATCAGCTACAGCTAAGAGTTAAAGATAAGAAATTCGTGTCACAACAGAACCTTCATTTCGACATTCCGCATCAAAACGTTAAGCGCATTGGTCGTTGCTTCCCATGGGGCTTCTCTCATCTCGTCAATTTGTTGTTGCTTCACATTCCATTCCTTTTGGTAACGTTCCATTTCCATCTCCAATTCGCTACTCAGCGTCGCTTTCTGGCTCTGAATTTCTTCCATTTCTAATTTCATTAACTCCATCTTCTCCTTTGCAGCTTCCACGCTGCAATCGATTGTCCGTCTTGTATCTTGTGATACTTTGTCCAATGTAGATGACGACAGCCACGTTTTCATCTTGTCTATCATACCCAATAATCCATTTCGTAATAACTCCTGGCGGTGATACCGGGTCTCCAGGTTTATAAATTTAGCTTTCGACAACTCCCGCTTGCGTTTTACTTCTTCTTGAAGTTCATGCATTTCAAACGCAAAGTTCATAACTTCCAATGTGCGGCATAATTTTTCCAGCGGATAAGGATTCACATAAGCGTCGTCTGAATTGGCCTTTCGTTCTTCCATAATTGTCACGGACGAGCCACTGTCGCTAACGAAGTCCAGAAGTTCATCGGGAGGCAATACTTGGTCGGCTTTGATTTCATTCAAACTCGTCAAAGAAGCAGCCCGCCGGTATCTGCTATTCGGCACTAACTCGCACAAATGGGTCGTGAGGCCATTCAGCAGGCGCCGAGTTTCGCTTAAACGCTCATCACCAGACGCCTCCAGTCCTGTCGATGCTGCTAGGTGTTCAATTCTTGTCAAGTACGCTAAAACGCTCGGGGTTGTCATGCAAGTATCCGTAAAATTGTCAATATCACCAGGGCATCCATCTTCCAAGCCTGCAACGATTGCCTTAACAAGCTCACGACACAAGAGATGGTTGAAGGCCTTCAAATTTGCCAACTCTGCGGAGCGGCTATCAATATTCTTCACCGCTTTATTTTGAATATTCTTGGCGCGGTTTGCGTACTGAAGCGTGTTTAAGGTCTCAGCTGCGTTCAAGTCTGCAGGCGACACGCATGCACTGCAAAAAAACATAAAGTAAAGGTTAATAATGTAAGAACACTAGCCCTCGTCAAGTTGTCATGACAAATACGATGCTTACATGAACAGAGTCCTACTGTTCCCACCGAGCGCGTCTTGTAGCAGCCGCGTGAGCTTCGACGATCGGTAAGGAACGTGGACGCTTGATGCTATCCGACGCTTATCATCACCGAGCGCATTAATGACGTTACCGAGAGCAAACAACCCAACGTTGATTTGGATACCTTCCTTCATGCGTTCGCCCTCTGCAAGAGTGCTTTTCAATCGCTCACTTCCCGCCAAGTCTACAAATGTGAGCTTGGACACGATCACCGCGTCGGATTCGGACACGTCAGTTCCCACACCTCCGACGCAACGCGATCCAAATGCATGCATTGTGGGCCTCTTCATATTGGACATTTCTTGATCATTAGCCACAAGTGAGACCTTTGAGGCCGAATCCCGTTTCGACATTTGCTGAACTATCTTGACCGTATACACGGCGTGTGACCGACTAGAACGTTCATTCATCTGTGTGCTAGCTGTGATTCGTTGCAGTGATCCTCTTTGCATCATCTCAATAGCTTCTTGTCGATTCGACACTTGCATCTCTGTCAATCCTTGCACCCACACACCATTCTTCTTATTTTCTCTCAATTGCAAAGGTTCTGGCCGTTGTTTTGAGTTTCTCTCTGTCTCTGGATTTTCCAATAAATCGTGAATCTCCTCTCCGTAGATTTCTAAAAATGACACGGACAATTGAAAACTGTTTTCTGTCTCGTTCAATTTGGTAAACAAATGGTGTAAAAACCTCGGGATCAGTCCTTCGTCACTGTCCAATGTATCTGCAGCTTCTTCTTCATTGTCATCACTTGAAGAAGATCTTACAAATAAACTGTTGGCCATCATAGACGTGGACGGCATACTATTTCCCATAGTGTACGTCTTGCCAGCTCCTGTCTGTCCGTATGCGATCACCGTCACATTAAATCCTTGCAGGAAAGAGGTCATCCAAGGATGCAGTACCTCATCGTACAGCTCCGTCTGCTTTGTTGACTGTGCAAACACATGGTCAAACCTGCAGAAATTAATATTCGGAACATATCAATACAAAATAGTACACCAAAATAGTACTACAAAATAGTACTCGTTTACTCTAGCAAAGAGAACTAGTCGTACGTGAATTTCCTTTCGGTGTTCGCTCCTATCGTCACTTTAATAGCATTATCCACATCTCTTGACTTTTCGACACATGTCACAGCATTCCGTACAAGCTCTCGAGGCAATTGAGGGCGAATGCGCACTGCAACACGCACGCTACCGTCTCTTCTGGACTTTATGGACGTTTCTAATGGCCGGACACGCGTTTCTTCCGTGCTGCAAGTTGATATGTGGTCATCAATTGAATCGCCGTCGGATTTGAATGACAATGGACGCTGCAAAGCAACTGGTAGTGGCGGCGGCATTATGCCGCGCTGTTATCGTGCAGGAGTGATTGTCGTTGGGGCAATATGAATGGTTCAACTCAGGTTTTAAGCCAATGAGAAGAGAAGAGGCGAGAAGAGATGTGATTGGTGCGTTTGACGGTGGTGCGACTGTTTTCCTCTGTTTATATATGTCTTATACATAGACGGACCGCTATGATTTGTCCATTATCAAGGCAAAGACGGTACGACCAGCATGAACTCTGAGCTCAAGTTAATGTACTGCATGGATATAGGTTAGAGAATTACAGACACAAGTAGAGATTTTGTTGTCCATGTAGCGGCGTGCCTCTTTGATTCCTTACAGTCATTTGCGTAATCGTTTCTGGCGTATTGTAATAGCGATAGACAAATGCATTCACTGCACTTATAACATTGCATACAGACATACAATGAAACACCATGATTGCAGCTGAGATAGAGATTTTTATCTTAACACTAGTGAAGGAACGAATTTGGAATCTAGCTATACAACTTTACTCTGAATGATCTAGCTCTAATGGCTGTAAGATTTAATGTTCCATCACGAAGCAAGCATGAAGTTATCAGCTCTGATGTTGCATCTGGGTTGTGTATACTCCTTTCAAGCATTAGCATGTAGAAATGATGCAGTGAAAGTCGGAATGCTGTTTGGATTGACCTAGACTATTTTGTAGTAGAGATTTACGAGCAGCATTAGAAACTAAAGACTAAGTTTATGGGATCCTGTCAACGATAATGATACTGTGTAAGCGTTTAAGAATGTAATTCTAGAGAAAATAGTACTTTTCACGGTACATCACATATTTGGGCTACATCATAAATTCTTGGTGTAATAATTTGACTTTTGCTAATAGTATTAGCTAAGGGAGGTACGTTATCTGTAAAGGGTGGCGCATCAATGTACTACAGCAATTTTCACCTTCGCTGGTGGAGGGCGCTTCAACCTGAAGCTCGACGCAATTTTGTGGCTCGGAGCAAGTAGCATCGTACTTGTGGCTGCTGTCCGTGAGTGCTTGTTGATACTTTGCAGATCTGATTTGGGGATTTCTGCTTTACTCTTCCATTTTGAATTGTTTGTAATAATAGTTTCTCCGATACTACAATCGTGATGATGGGCATTAAAATGGCAGGTGCGTTGTGTTTTTCAGCATTTGTCCGTTTTCTGCGATCAGCGCAATTGCTCGAATCGCCCAAACGTATGAGCCTTTTTCGTACGAGTGCAATAATTACTTCTTACGCGTTACAATACGTTTAACGAGCACGAAACTTACTTTGCAAACCGCTTCTTACATGCCAAACGTACGATAAACTGCATGTCGCCAGTTCTACATGCGGTTTCATTGGCTGTAGCTCGTGAAGATGTACGACAACATATCATGGCGTTGTCAGCAGCAATAAAAAAGGCAGACAGGACGCTATTTCTTCGCTTAACCAGTTTTTTGCGAATGCACATGTACAAGGCGAAATTTCAGGTAATTTCAAGCTAGCGTCAAGGTTGTTTTGGACAGTCTGACGCTAGCTGTCTCAGTGCTGGTCCCACTGGATTTTGAAGCTCGCACGTGCAACTTTCGAGGAGACCAGTGCCAGAGCAAGTACGCATTTGAAGCAAGAGCAGACAAGCCAGCGTCTAACCGTATGTCGATGCCTGTCGGGTCTTGCAAATGGAGCTGAGTACTGGCAAGAGGATCCGAGATATTGGCCACCAGTATTCACGCACAACCGCGAGCTGGCCATATGCTGCCTATTGCAATAGGTTTCGATACTGTCTTCAAGATAGTAAATAACCCAGCTGACACTGACGTGAACCGAGCCGTTTGATATCGGTGCTGGCCGATAGAGCTTTTCAAGTCATGCAGTCGTGTGTAAGCTCCAGACTGACGCCATGGTGCACTCCAGCAGCTAGTGGGAGTCAAGTGTTTGAAGGGTTGTCGTCTCGCTTTTTTTGTCTGATTTTTGCACTTGGCTAGAAAATACAGAACGTTTTGATTGGCCAACACATAGAGAAAAATCGCTGATTGGTTTACACCAGTGGCAATCCTTCTTTTTCGAATATTCGAGGGAGAAAAAGCGACTTCGACCACCAACCTCCGCACAACTGAATCCGGCACGAGAAAAAAGGTTACCTAAAGCGACAGGGGGGAGGTGGAAGAGAAGCGTGAGGGTCCGCGTGGGAGAGTGTGTGTCATTCGAACGCGAATGGGCTCGAATAGCGCCATGGATGACGAGTTACACCCAGTAATGGACATGAAAACTGCCGCTGGTCGGCGGCTGCTTGGTGAAAGTAAAGGATTACGGAGAGATCGATTGGCGTCTATCAGTTCATCCGGATACTCGGATGCGTCATCCGTTGATGATGTACTCGGTACGGCACTAGAACTGCCTCCGCATCTTCGTAATCATTTGGTGAGCGTGGCGCACCGCAATTTACCGCCTGTGACTTCACTCGAAGGCGAGCTACTACCACCAATTGATCATCTACGACCGCCGCCAATGCGTATTCCGCTTCTGCCAGAGAACATGAAGATGGAGCCGATTCCAGGCATTAATCAACGACGGCAGACTAAACGTGTCATTGTATGTGGAGCTGGCATTATCGGTTTAACGACATGTTATTATCTAGCAAAAGAGGGACATGAAGTATTGTGTGTAGAAAAGGAAAGGGGTGTAGGAACACAAGTGAGTTTTTGTAATGGCGCTTTCTTAGACCCAGCCCTTTATGCGAGTTGGTCCGATGTGACAAATCTTCGCAAAGGGATCAGTTCCCGTCGAGGACATACAAACCATCGGCATTCTTCAAGTACGACAACGGCAACCGATGGCAACAGTGTAACCGTCAATGGAGGTCCAGCTGCAGCAGCGGCATCGAGTTCATCAACAGATATTACCGTATCCATGCGGCCAGTACGAGGAGCGGCATTGAAGTTGCCGTCAAGGGAAAAACCCATGAAAATCGAAATGTCTGCGTTTCGAGACACCAAGTTTTGGAAATGGGGACTGCAATTCTGGCACAATTCTAAAAAAGGTCGTTCTAATGAACATAGTCGCACAATTCGAGAATTGGGTTTTTACAGCATGTTAAAGTTGCGGGAATTACAGGCAAATACTAAAAAAGGGGAAATCGTCATGGACCAAACAGCACAAGGTACGATCGAAATTTTTAGAAGTCACAGGGAATTGGAGGTAACGTTACAAAGCGATCGAAGTGCCCATCTGTTGGAATTGGGGATGGACTTGCAACCACTTAGTGCAACGCAAGCTCATAATTTAGAACCAACCTTACGATCCGAAATGTACGCACCTGGGGCAATTTTGTCGGCTTTTGGGACCAGTGGAGATGTGCACAAAATGTGTCAATCACTGTACCGTTTGTGTATGCGGCAAGGTGTAATGTTTCGGTTTAATACCGAAGTGCAACATGTTTTGACGGATAAAACATCTGTGATTGCACTGCAAACAAGGAGAGGGTCTTTGATTGAAGGAGATGAGTTTGTTCTAGCTCTTGGTAATTCTACTGCACCTGTGGCAAAACGAGCAGGGATCAAATTGGCAATTTATTCGGTCAAGGGGTATATGCTGTCTATTCCAGTGGCTACAGGTTTTCGTGCACCAATTCACAACATTTATGCTGGTGGATATGCACTAGTTGCACCTTTGGGCAAGTCTCTATTGCGAGTTTCCGGTGGTGTCGATTTCGTGAGTCAAAAAAAGACGAGCGACGTATCACCGCGTGATCAGAAAAAGCGTTACGATTGGCTATTGGGTCAAGTCAAAGTCATGTTTCCAGAAGGCTATTTGGATGTGGCTAAGATGCGTACACATACTTGCTGGCGTCCGGTAACAGCAGACGATGTGCCTCTTATTGGTCGTACAAAGGTTCGAAATTTGTACGTAAATGCTGGCCACGGCTCAAAGGGATGGACACTTTCATTTGGTGCCGGGGCAGTACTTGCTGATGAGATTAGTGGGCGGCGACCACAGCTTGACATGACAAAATTTGCTCCCGACCGCTTTGGCTTTTTCGGTTGAGTTTGAAGTTGCTTCATATGATTTTTTAAGCTATTTGAAAATTCGCCACCATACATCGAGAGTGAGTCATGATAGAGGAGTGGGATTTTGGACGTCACGGCTTTTTCTTCTCTTGATCAGAGTTACAAAGGGGATGGAGCGTCGCTGGGGAAGGTTTGTATAGAGAATAGATAAGTTCAGCCTTCCCTAGCCCAACTGCTCGATTGGATAGCAGTACGCGCTGTGATGTTTGATGCCATGCTTCTAGTCGTATTTTGTTATTACTTTCGTGCGACATTAATTAATTTGCATTCAATTACTATTTTGTTGCCTATAAATAGACTGTTGTTTCTCTAGTGTGCTGTTGTGTTATGAAATTTTACAAGATAATTACTGTAATCGTGTATTCAGAGATTTAAGCGCCTCGTCGCACGTTACTAACGTTGACGTCGTCATTTCCTACAGCTCCTTTACGTCTATCCAAATCAATTTTAAAAGGTTTCTATCGCTTCCTATCTGTTCAAATTTGTTCTAAATTCATGTGGTTCACTTCTTCGAACCATAGAAACGCCAGCTTCGAATTTAAAGTGCCAAGATCCGAAGATATTGGCGTCATTCGATAAGCTATTTCGAGAGCTAAAGCTTTACATGGTAGTAGATAGTAATAATACCAATCACATGGCTGCGTTCAGTGTGTCCCTATCGCCTTTGCTACCAAGCTCCGTGGAAGATGAGACGCCGCCCGGCAGAGACGAGGGAAAACGTGTGCGTTTTCAGCCTGCATTCCAGCCCACCCACACCGTTTTCACCCCCAAATTGAGTGAAACTGGCTCTTTGCGATACCGTAAACCAGACGATCGCATGGTCGGTAGCACGAGTCTAGCGCCTCCAAGTTCCGTCTCTTCGATTGCGCAACCGAATTATGACGACTTTCTGCGACGTGTGAGCGTTGTACTGTATCAACATATCAGACGTTGTGAGAAGCGACATCGCGAACAGCAACGTAGCGGTAATACTGGGGGAATGACAAACGCCATTACTGCAGCTGTTTCTGCTCTTACGACATTGGAACATCGACCTTTGAATGTATACGGATCCTCCAATCATACATCGGAAACAGCAACGTTTCATGCGGAATCGTTGACTTGTTTATCAGATTCGGAAGGAGATGAAGATACACAGGAATTAAATACTACAAACTCAAGTACTATTTCGTCTCCGAAACTACTGGATTTACCCGTGGAGGAAATTTTTTGTGAAGAACATTTCGTTACTCCTCAGTATAAGTATACTTTTGTGAGATTGCCAAGAGTGCATCCGATGACGGTGTATAGAATGGAAAAGATTACGTCAAAAAGACATGTGCCCAGTGTGGATGAAATTTTTCGATTCTGTAAGAATTTATTCAATAAGGCACAATTGAGTGCAGAGTGCACTATTGTATGTCTGATCTACATTGAGAGAGTTATGGAGCAAGCTAATGTACCACTAGTAGCGGCTACATGGAAACCAATTGTACTTTGTGGTTTGCTCTTGGCATCGAAAGTGTGGCAAGATTTAAGCTCATGGAATGTCGAGATCAGCAATATCTATCCACAATTTTCGCTGCACTCGATCAATCGACTGGAGCGGCTATTTCTGCATCATATCCAGTGGGATCTCTATATTTCCGCAACGGTGTATGCCAAGTACTATTTTGCACTCCGATCACTAACAGAAAAGAAAAATTTCAGACGTCGGTATAATTATACGATGCGTGTGGACCCACCCAACTCAAAAAGACTTGAAGAACGAAGTGCAGCAATCAAGCACGAACTGTATTCCAAGAGTCTCTGAGATATGCGTAAGATTATTGATTTGAGTAACATCCCGAAATGTGTTATCGGTCATGCTCTTTAGTTTGTTTCAGTGCTATAAACAAATCGTGGGTACGACGACAAAATACCGCTGGCTTTCTTGGCGTACTATGGACACTCTTTATTTGATTACCTTGGCTTTACATATGTGTCAAAAGCATCAACTATATTATCATATGGTGTGCATCCAAAAAGTGCGGAGTGAGCAGGACACTAGTATTGCGCTCGAAACAACATCCAGAGATTTTATTATAAGTCGGAGTCTGGAATATGCCTAAAAATTGTCTCAAAGGTTCCTACAGAACTATTGCACCACAGCTTTTTTCTAAGAACTTACAAAAAGAATGCTTAAGACAAGATACCCATCGACACAAGAACCGAGCTGGAACATCCCAAGCCAAAACAACCTAATAAAAGGGTTAATTTTCCAAGCAAAATTATCTTAAGGATCGAATACGTCAGCTACAAGCACAAACAATTCAAAAGCAATACACAGAATTAGGTCATTGACGAATGATTTAAAAGACAACGGACTTTGTCACGGCCTGCATTCAGCTGAGCGTAGCAACAAAGAATCTTCCAAAACGCCTCCTCTTACCCCCAAGCCTGTGTCAAACTATAGTTTAGCACCAACACATCACCTACTTGGAAGCTCTAGAATTGATATAATGTCCCACAAACACAAATATTACAATTGGTTTTGAATAACAACAAATTCACGAAAAGTCCTCAAAAATCACCTCAAACAATGAACTGAGTCTTTGGTCAGGAGATGGTGCGAACGAGCTATTGCAATACACAAACTGCACACAATAACATAGGAAATTACATATAAAAATTGTGTGAAGTAAGCCAGCTGTTTTTCTTTCTTTACCAGCGCGTCGGTTTCTTTTAGGCGAAGTTGTTTTTTCAAAAATTTGTACACCTAAATTTTCGTATCGTTGTCAATCACCCAACAATCATTTCGCCCACTTGATAAAAATCTGATTCCACCCACCACACTAAGCTGATCATAACCTCCAACTGTAAACTTCGTACGCTTCATCAGTGGCGCATTGCCCACCGCCACAAACTGCAGCGTTACTGCCATAAAACCGGTAAACAGAATGGTATAATTTTCTCAACCTCCGAAACATATCATTGCATCCAACAAACTTCCGGTCCATACAGAGATGCCAGTCTTTTTATTCGTTTTTATTCCGTATGCGACTAACCTTTAGCGGGTCCCAGCGGTCGTACAATTGCAGTATCATTTGACACAGTCGCAGTCAATTCCGCCATCTTTAGATCAATACAAGTTAGAAATATCGCTCGATGGTACCGTTTCTTATACTGAGAATACCGGTACCTATTCATCATAGAAATAGATCATCGTTTCTAATTTAACGAATTCGAGAAGTTCTTCGCACCCACTTCCTCATTTCCAACCCTTTTTCGTCCTATTTTGGGACTTTTTTCCATTTCGTCATAACGTTTTCTGCATCAGCTCCCGTTTATTCCTCCGACTCGGACACAGATTTGGACACCATGTACACGCCTGTAAGCGAGTCTGATCCAATGCTTGTAAGCCCTCGAGATGGCAAGGATCACCCTTCGAATGCTGCTGTCAAGACTCTTCGTCTTGAAGCTCCAGCACCTAAATGTAACGATGGTATTTTCGCCTTTATTTTCCTGCTAAATGTCACTATTGTAGGCACTTTAGCCTTTTGGAAAGGAGTACCTGCTTTAAAAGAAGACATGGGTAAAAGTCGGAGTGATGGTCGTGTTCCCCAAGGGCATTCCATAGCCTGGACAATGATTGGTCTATTGTGTCTCATTGGACTGGCTCTTTCATGTACATGGATGAAACTCTTGATGACATATGCAAGTTCAATGATTAGGGTTGCACTTTGGTTAAATGTAGCCATGGTGGTAATCTTTGCCATTTCGACACTATCTGTCAATATCTGGGCAGCTCTTGTCTTTTTCTTTTTCGCTGCAATTAATGTCTGCTATATTTATCTAGTACAGAATCGGATTGGCTTTGCATCTGCCAATTTAAAAGCAGCATGTGCAGGGTTGCAGCAACATTCTGCAATTTTTGGATTGGCTTTTTTTCTCGTGATCCAGCAACTTGCTTGGATGTTGTTATGGGGTCTTGCAAGTTTAGGAATGCACCGGATTTTTATGGAAGCTGATCCAAACTGTGATCGAGAAATTGAACTTGCAAGTCGTGGACGGAACCATGGAGGACTTTGTGTCGGATTTCCAGCTTATGCAGCTTTATTTTACATGCTCGTGAGTGTCTATTGGGGTCAACAAGTATTGCAGAATATTTTGACTTGTACGACCGCAGGGGTCATTGCAACGTGGTGGTATCAGCCCAATTCACAAAAGGCGACATTGGGAGCACTGTATCGTTCGGTGACGACAAGTTTTGGATCCATTTGTTTCGGGTCATTGATTGTGGCGGTTCTTCAAGCATTGAGAACTATGGCGAATACGGCTAGACGTCGTGCTAGTGAGGAAAATAATGGGGGACTGGTGTGTTTGGCGTGTTTGGCTGAATGCATATTGAGCTGCCTGGCGAACATTGTGGAATACATAAACCAATGGGCGTACGTGTACGTTGGTGTGTACGGCTACCCGTTCCGCACAAGTGGGAAAGCGGTCATGGATTTGTTTACTAACCGTGGTTGGACGGCGGTGATTAATGATGACTTGACGTCAAGTGCACTTTCGTTTGGGGCTTTGGGCGTTGGTGTTGTGACGTGCTGTATTGGACTTCTTATGGTGCGTTTTTCACCTGTGGAGTGGTTTACGGCTTTGGGCTCTCGTATGGGCGTATACGGAACGATGGCCTTGATCGGCTTTACGGTGGGAATTAGCATGGCCTTGATCCTGGCACATGTAATCATTGCCGCTCTTCACACCATCTTTGTTTGTTTCGCGGAGGTACGATTTACCCTCGAGTCCTTGAAAGTTACTATGAGTTCGCACTAACGGTGTTTTTGATAATTAATGTGTTGTTTTATCAGGACCCAGTTGCGTTTAACCGCAACCATCCAAAGGAATACGAAGACCTCGTGGCTGGTTGGCGTCAGTTCCACGGGGATGCGTTGCTGTCCGCTTATGGAGGATCCGTCTAAAGTATGGCTTAATGCGAAAGGCTCGCCTGTGTATGCTGTGGTTGGTAACCAGAATTAATGAAACTTCAGTGAATCTGAATATCGGGTGGGCTTGCATGTATCGTGTGCTTTATCTCGATCAGTAACTAAACGTTTCCACTCTTTGAGACGCTCATTGGGAACGAAAACTTTGCGAAGAGTAAAAAAACAGTTAGTGGGTGGGCGACAAGAAGGTCGGTTTTATCGCCATTCCTCCCATATATTGGGAACCTCGTTATTGAACAACACCCTTTTTATAACCTCTTCGTAGTATTCACATAACAACGACCTTGGTCTTTTTATGCTGCCAGTTTATTACACAAGAGAGACATTTCTTTTCTTTGATTCCATCTGGAAGTTGCTCCATCTCTTTTGTCTAGCGCAACATAAACGTATCTTACGTTGCTTGGATCCCACATAAAATCTGAGAATATTTTGAAGAGCTCCATTCGGTTCAACTTGTCTACCATGACGTCTCATATGGAAAATAGTGCATTACAAAGTAATTCTTATCACTCAGTATCCGAGTCAATTATTCATAGCAATGCACAAGTACAGAAAACACAACGTTTTAATCTTCTATCAATGTGGCAACGTCAAGAACTTACTGACGTGATTCTCGTGCTACAAGTTGAACCACATGACGTTGCAAAAGAAATTGCTGCCCATCGAGTTGTTTTATCTGCTGCAAGTCCTTTTTTCCATGCACTTTTTACTAATGGAATGAAAGAATCGTGGCAGATTTTACCTCGTATTCCATTGCCTGGTATTTCTATTACTGCATTTAATGAACTAGTACGATACATGTACATGGGAGAATTAACAATTGCAGGAGATACAATCCTATCAGTATTAGATGCAGCTAATCGACTTGAACTACAGGAAGTTGTGGAGATTTGTTGCAAACAATTGATGCTCGAGCTGAATGTGACCAACTGTGTAGATATCTACATTTGTTGCGAACAGCTCCAGATGAGACCTGCTTGTAGGTTATTAGCTCAAGCTGCCCGGTCCATGATTGATACTTTCTTTTATGAGGTATATCAGAGCGAAAGTTTCAAGACTTTGTCGTTAGAGGCCGTGATGAAGATTTTACGACATCATGAACATTCAGTGGATTATTGTACGGATGATGCAGCGGTTAAAGCTTGGATGATGCATGACCCCATGACTAGACAGAGACAAGTGTCGGTTGTGTTGCAATCTCCGCAGAAATGGAAAAACAATGGAAACGAAGCGGGACAAATACTTACAAGTCGATGGAATAGTGATACTGCTATGGTCTATGACAAAAGGAAGACATCGTTGGAGGTTGAGGATGATATGATGAATTTGGACATTGTGGATACCGAGGAAAGTATCAAGCAGCAACTCACGCCGACCATTTTCGTGATGGGAGGTTTCAATAATCCTGGTGCGTTAAGTACAGTGGAATATCTGGACTTTCATCGTGGTGAATGGTACCCCGCTGCATCAATGACAACTCGGCGTTCTTATAGTGGCGTTGCTGTTACGAGAGATAACAAGATATTTGTCATGGGAGGAACAAGTAGTAGCTCGCACCATCACAAGAGTATGGAAAGATACGATCCGGATACGAATCGATGGATAACAATGCCATCGATGAAAAAGGCTCGTAGTTATCTTGGAGCAACAATTGTTGGGAATTTTATCTACGTCGTTGGAGGGTTTAATGGTCATGCTCATTTGTCGTCGGTCGAGCGCTTTGATCTCGAAAAACATGAATGGGAGCTAATGCCTCACTTAATGACAGGACGTAGTGGACTAGCAGTTGTTACACTGAATGGACTTGTATATGCTATCGGTGGATATGATGGTAGAAAACATTTGAAAAGCATGGAAGTTTTTGATCCTGATACGAATGAATGGATATCTGGTGCTAGTATGCGTTATGCAAGGAATGGTCCTGCAGCGATAGTACAAGAAGAGAATAATAGTATTCTTGTCTTTGGAGGTGAATCTCGTCATGGGGCACGGATGAATACAAGTGAAGAATTGGATTTAAATAATGGAACATGGACAGATGTGGATACATTTGCCGATTGTCGAAGTGGTCACGTTGCCGTGAGTTTTTTGAATGAAACATTCTTGTTTTGTATGGGAGGATCCAATAAGAAAGATGAGTATCTCGATACAGTACATCGATATGATTTTTTATCCAAGCAATGGACACTTTATTCGCCGATGAATGCACAACGTTGTGGCTTGAATGTAGCTGTAGTAAAGACGTCACCCTATGCTGAATGTTTTACAGCACAAAAGGTGAAGGAACAATAAATGTACAAACAATAATAATGGTCTTTGCCCGAAGAAGGACTACAATAATATGGACAATTTATTGGACACATCGACGAGTATTTAATTTAATACGCTATAATTTTTGTCGACAATTATTGTGATACAATCTCTTTTCCATTTATTACCCAAAATAACAAATGGCTGACGGTTACGATCCCCAAAAGTCTCGCGTAGCGGAAGACACGTTGGCTGATTTTCTTCGTGCACCACTTACCGGTGACTTGACAGAGGTGCCTGGTATTGGTAAAGCGGCAGTTACAAAGCTTAGTGAATCAGACGAGGACGGGGAAGAGGCCGTTACGAACACATTTCAACTCATCGGCAAGTTCCTCATGCTCAAGGTACGATGGGGGTACATTTTTCTGAGACGGGGTAGGGATCCTAATTTTTATTTTGGGTTTTTGTTTTTTTACGATATATAGGAAAATTCCGATGATCATGACGATGGAATGATTGATTGTGCGGCTCATTGTGATGCCTTTTGGTTCTGGCTCAAGTCTAAGGGCATTACAGCCTACAGAAGGTAAATGTGACTATTGTTCTTGTTTGTAGGTTACTAAAGAGACTGATACTTGTCTTTTTTGTGGTTTTATTTAGTGGTATTGTCATGGCCATTGCAGAAAAAGTAAACACGATGCTGCCTGGTATTTATGATGCAGCAGAGTTCCAGTAGAGCAACAGCAGATAAAGACTCAAAGCAAAGATGAGGAGGAGGAGCAACAAATACATTCTGACGTACGTGGTCATTTTCACGAGCAGATGTGGGAGCTAGTAGAGCTCAAATGTTCTTGACTCAGGAGAGAAAAATCAATGGAGAGAAACGAATTTGTTTGGTTCGTGCTTTCTCTCTCTCTCTCTCTCTCTTACTTGTTGTGTACATCTCCACATCGAGAAGGTCATTGTGGGATCATGTGTCGGTGTCGTGATGTGCGATGATCCATGTGTCGCTGTCATCTTCGCCGCTGATATCTGTGTGAGCACTGGCGACCAATTTGTGCGCTCCTTTGTCTCGTTTAATAACATCCACCTGTCGCGTTTCAACCCGAGGCAGCCTTCCCTTTCAGCTCAATTGTGTATTGCCATCATCACCTGCCTTCTTTAGTGCATGCATCCTGAAATCTCCAATGCAAAAGCTTAACAGCGTATCCTGACGCACCCGAACGACTCGGTAGACTACCACAATGCCCAAATTCCACGCAGTTTAACGAAAAACTTGTGGCCTGTTGACGACTCAACAAAAGATGGCAGGACTTGTTTGAGCAGGCACAAGAATACGACCTCAACGTTGATGTATATGTCACTGCACGACTATTCTTCCATGGAAAACACCTTCGAGTTCAAGTAACTCAAGCGCTGGTCACTGTCCGTTCTCCCACGTAAAAAAGAATCGTATCTCCCAGGACGACGAAGACGAGGCTGTGAGCTCGTTGCTAGACAGATCAAAGTGGAAGAAAGAAAGCGTAAGATTCGACACAGTAGACAAAAAAACTAACTGACATTACCGAAGTGTACCTTAAGCATGGTCGGCCAATCGAGACCATCGTCTCAAGCATAATCTAAGCCCGAGAGGCCGTGTCGGCGGAACGAGGTGTTCTTCCGAAAAAAGGCGAGCGCAGCAACGAGCCGTCCTCAATTTGGTCCCATTGACGTCGTCGTCCACACGGCGTCATGATTTCTTGAGCAGCAGGAGATCTCACCACTGGTGCAAGACTGCCAGGCGTATTGCCACCTTCTGTCATGGCATACTGCAGCGACTTTCGCTCGGTACAAGCATCACTATCACTGCTAGCTTCCACGTTCTTCACAGCACGCTCCGCCATCTTTGCCCAATCGATGCGTGACAATACAAACGTAAAGATCGAGAGCTTGAGCAGCTCCATCATGCACACGCCGTACCACAACGCCGGAAAGCCGAGACCCATCGTGACACCACCAAAGTAAGCAATCGGGAGCTCGATGAACCACACACTTAGCGAGCTCACCCACGCCGTGACTGAAACTTCACCCATACCGGCCAACACGGACGAGATCAAAATTTCCACCGACTCGAGCACGTAGCCCGTGATAAAGATCGGCTGCACCAGCATGCACAACTGCAGCAGTGTATCGTCGTCCGTGTACAACCGAAAGAGCGTTTCCCGCATTGCAAACGTGGCAACAGCGAGCACCACGACAGTACAGACTGTGCAGAAAAATCCCAAAAAGCCCAGCACCCTTGCAGCCTTAGGACGTCCAGCACCGAGATAATTAGCCACGCGAATCTGCGTTGCTGAGCCAAAGCCCCAAAAGAGCGCCCATAAGAGAGACCAAAGGCCAGAGATGACTGCGTTAGCTGCTATGACATCAGATCCAAGTTTCGCCGCTACGAGCGTCAAGGCTGAATTGGCCAAGTTGGACACCAAACTATTAGCTGCCACTGGTCCTGCAATGTTCAGAAAAATCGTGAGTCGGTCGGGTGTAAAGGCAGTCAAGTCCCAGCCACCCCAAGCCTGTAAATGCATTTTTTTGTATAGAATGCAGTACGAAATGAGAGCAATTGGTTGGAACCAGGCTGCAATAACTGTAGCCATGGGTGAGCCATCAAAGCCCATTCCTTCCCATCCAAAGGCACCAAAAATGAGCACATAATTGGCCGCACAAGCGACACCAATTGATAATGTACCGACAATTGTCACGGGCGACATGATACCCATTGACTGAAAATAAAGACGAACACAGGCGTACACTAAGGACGGCCAGATACTAAGGGACAAGATCCGTGCAAATCGCACGCCTAATGTCACAACCTCTTGATCTTCAGTTGAAAACTCAAGCAAGTAGCCAATACACCAATACCAGAGCATTACTGGTACCGAGAGAATCGAGACAGCTACAATGCCAAGTTGTAGCCATATCCCGGCTAACTCGCCATTTTTAGCACCCCAAGCTTGACCACAAAGTGTTACAAGAGCAGTAGCTCCAGACCAAACACCAGCAAGTGGTACATTTGTCCAAGTAGATGAAAGTGACGCAGCAGCAAGAGATGAAGTACCTAAATGTCCCAAGAAGGCACTGTCGACGGAAATAAGGACAATACGTGCAAAAGTTGATAGTGACACTTGCAATGCCATCCACGTAAGACTCCAAAATTCAGCTGGAACGTCTACATCAACTTCTTTATGAGTATTTGTATGGGATAAAAGAGCGGATGATTCGTGCATGTATCGAGAAAAATGACTTGAGTACTTGGTGGTAAATTGATAAATGAAGACGTTTACGAGATCAGTCGGATAAGTATAGTAAACTCAAGTGATTTCCAGCCACTGGTTGGCTGAGGACGATAATGACTCAGTCAGTTTTGGTGAGTAAAGGAACCTTTAGCTACTTACTTTATTGACTTACGACCGTCAATACCCATGAATCATGACAAAACTTGTCTGTCCATCCTTGAAAGTCATTGCGAGCTTCTTGTTAAAACAACTTCAACTTGAGCGATAATAACATTCATAGCAGCAAATGGCACCTGATGTCATCAGTAGCTTTTTCCCAGTAGTATATCGAGTACTGTGGCTGTGCTTCATAAAGCTTCACGACCACTACAAACTTTTCCTCGGCAATGGCAACAGCTACTCTCAAAATGTGGCTGTTGCCCTGAGCACACTTCAAACTCTGCAAAATGGCTTCATATCCGTCTTTTCAATCCATAGAAAGCAAGTGACCAACGTGCTTAATCAATTTGATACTGAACCATGCCGAATCTTTTCCCCACAATCCCGCAAACTAGAAATCGATGATGTTGCTCACAAGATGCCTGTTGCTCGGTAGCTGAAGCCAGACTCCTTTTAATCATCGTTACTTGTACATGTACGCTCCATATCAGCAAAACTTGAATCTATTTGGAAGTTCTCGAGGTATGCTGAGCTTCTATTCCTCGTTTCCCCTCAAACGTTTGATTTTTGGAAGAAAAAAGCTGCATTGATTCCAAAGCAAAGTGCCGCAACTGTGACTCTAAACGTGAGAAATTCAATGCAGCGATTTCTTGAATGTAAAAATACGGATTTCGGTACACAGCTCGTTGGCCAAAACACCGCTGGTTTGCCTCAAAGTCAAAGTCTACTCGAAACATGTCGACATAGTAGTATCTTCGGCTATATTCCTTGTGAAATTCCAGGACATGGGCCCAAATTGCTGAATCTGCATACTTCTCAACAGTATCTGGGGTAACATCGACGGCGTCAATAGTCGTTTTGCGCGTACGAGCGTCCTCAACTCGGTCAACAATTTTTCCCGAAAGTTTTTGTTGATTTCGGTGCATAAAGAGTATCTCTCCGTTCGCATCATGCTGAACCATTGTCATACCACAAAAATCGGAGCGAAAAAAACCATCAGAGATAATTCCAGCCATGCCAGGAGGAGTCTGGATCATTGTAAATGGAACATTGAGCTTCAGCCACGCTAAACGAAACAAATCTTTATCACCCCACACAAGTTTTAGCGACGTAAAGAAATTCGGACGATTTAGCGCATAGAATCGAACGAGCTCCAGTGGAACAGCGTGTCGTCTGCGGTCGATCACGAGTTGTCCGCTCTCCTGCTCAAACATGTCAATAAATGGCATATCTAAGAGCTCCCACAACAAGGAGTTTTCGTAAATGCCAAAGATCGAGTGATCTGGATTCCAAAAATCCGGCCAGAAAATCGCACCAGTTTTTAAGAACTCGGTCGACTCAAATAAAAAACTCGGATCACGAACAGGGACATTGTCAGCATCCAAGAAAAGCACTCGATCAAATTTCGTGTGGTATATGGCATGAATTTTAGTTACAAACCCCGTCGCTCGCGAATCGTGAATCTCTTGAAATGTGATATTATTTTCTGTAGCAGCAAGATGTTTCAAAGGTTCTAAACTCGTACCATTGGTCTTTTTTATCTCGTCCGAACGAAACCAAATCTCAATTGGCAACTGACACTTGAGTACAGTGCGCAAGACACGAATTGTTGCGTATGCACTTGCAAAAAGTTTTGGATACACCACCATGACAATTCCATCACGTGATTTTGCTCCCATTGTGATATTGACATGTGGTAACCTCAAACTTGAATTTTGAGCTGCTTGTACAATTTTGTGAGCCTGAACTCGAATATTTACAAATTGGGGGGCATCTTGACAACGAAAAGGCACGCCATGGCGAAAACTATTGCATTGTGTTCGCATAACACGAAATTTCTCTTTCGTATTGACATCTTCGACTTCACAATAGCCAATTTTATCATTCGAGATAATTGTCGAACAATTTTGATCTCCAGATGACCAGATTTTTCCAATTAAACTGCATTCATATAGAGTTCGCCATTTAATACATTGCAAATTTCTTATTTTTGTCTCGCCAATCGGAAAATCTTGAATCAAAATGTCTAATTTTTGGGAGTTGTTAAAAATCAACTGACTTGGAATTTGTATACGGGAGTCGTGACCATTTTGAGAAAAAGGATTCATTTTATAGGCCGACCAAAAAAGGATTGTCGAAGCATAAATGATAACGCTTAATAGCAAAACATGACGCGCTCGTGTCATGGATTGATGTATCCATGAAAACATTGAGGTCATTGGTCTCATAGGAAGAGTAGTAGACGAAGAAGGTGTGAGCAACTTAAGCGATAATTAGATGATGACACGCCTGATCCTAAAATAATCAAAAATTGCGCAGAGATAGGCCATTTGTGTTGGAGCGTTTTATTTTATCTTAAATTTTAGGACAGCATACCCCTAAATAAGACTCGATTTAAGTATTGCCAAACTAGGACGAACTATTGCCACTAGTATCACGTATATCGATCGTACGATGAAAGTCCAAATCCTAGGACACAGGACATCAAAAGGTCTTTCGACTTGACAACGATACTATGTGTAGCGAGGATAAGGCAGTTGTAGGTAGGAGAGTACAGTCTATCGTAACGTTCTGGTAGTAATAAAGCCATTGGTTTGTCAAATTGTTCTAAAAGGTCCCCAACGAAACAGCATGGGCCTCATTTTACTATCATAAACATTAAGGACGCATGTACGAAACCTAAAAATTGTAGTTTAAGACGAGCATGTTGTAGATGCAGGACATGTGATCGTGCATGTTTGACAATTATAGAGCTTTATTGGCACTATATTAGCTCAAGGATCCAAGCACCGACGAGAAAGCACAGAATTCTCAAGGTCATATACATTATCGCAAATGGAATTGTGCATTTTTTATGTGTAAGAAACCCGACTATCACGACGCGCGAGGATCTGCATGGGATCTTTCAATGGTACAGAAAATCGACTGTTCAGACTATTGATGTGTGTCACTGCGTATTGTGATAATTGTCTTTGCAATTTTAAAACACGCAATTTTAATTGGTTGGCGGAAGATGAGCTCTGTGATTTTCAGTGAATATTGTGAAAGCGGTACTATATTGTCGTAACAATACTACAATATCACATTGTGTATGTGGACGTTGCCAGAAGCCAGAACATCATACAGTATGTAAATAAAGCTCTCGTCGTCCAATCGGCATCTATTTATATCTTACCCCTTAACACCCAGTCTTACCATATACCAATACCCTTCCATTTGTATGTAATGTGCCCCATCTCGTACTCGATTCTCAAAAAAAAACTTACGGTGCAAAATGTCGCTTAACCAAGTCTCGATAGACAAATAGACAGACGAATTCCAATCGTTTTTTGATCATGTAAAGAGTGAGAAAGGTCGATGCAAAGAAAAGAAAAAAAAGACATTTTTTCGTGTGAAGTTATTGGCCAAGAGAAGTCCTCGATCGACACGCCAGAGTCGACGTAAAAGCCACAAATCCCGGTCTTTTTGAAAGAAAAATAAAAAACCGCACATTTAATTACGAGTTTTGACAATAGGTTCGCAATGCGTCAATGGATGGAGGGCGGTGTCGCGGAAGTTCCGTCTGAATTACTTGATCTCATTGCATCAACAGGTTCCGGGTCATCTTTGTCGTCTGGTAGCACTAATAATAGTCTCGATACTGATAATATCGAACCAGACAATTCGTCACAGAAAGAAGAAGAAGAAGACACGTCACTTGGTTTATGGCTGAGTATTAGTGTCCCATTGATTTTACTCTTGACGTGTATTGTCATTGTGACACTCTATTGCAAACGGAAGAAGGAGAAACCAACACTTATGGAGACGGAGACGGGGTCATTGCCATTACCAATAACGTATCATCTTGGAAGACGAAGAGGAGGTCCAAATACGAGAATGGCTACATTGACGACTGAAGATGAAGAAGCTCTGGCATCTTGGAGAATTGATGCAGAGAATATATCGCCTATTAATCCATTGGGTGCAGGAGCCTATGGTACCGTGTGGCTTGCAATGTACTTGGGTGAGACGGTAGTGGTAAAGAAACTCTCGCCACCGATGCCACCGTCATTACCTCGGACGAAATCATGGCGGAAAAGTAATCGGCAAAGTGTCGGCAGAACAAGAGCAAATTCTGGGTCTAATATACGACCAAGAACCAAGTCACGTGGACCATCGGGAAAATGTGTCTTGCGTCGGTTTTTAGCAGAGATTCGTATCTTATCGACCTTGAGTCACCCAAAGATCGTGGCATTTTACGGTGTGGCATGGACTTCGCCGTCGAAATTGGACTCGAACAATGAACTGACTGGTAATGCATCGGACGTACAGATGGTGCTCGAGTTTATGAGTCGTGGCGATCTACGGGATTATTTGGCTCGCACTCGGAGTGATGTGCGGGCTCGAGCTTGGGGGTCACAAAAAATGTCGATGGCGCTGGATATTGCCGAAGCTCTTGCTTACTTGCACTCGAGACAACCAAAGCCGATTCTTCATCGCGACCTAAAGTCGAGCAACATTTTGCTGGATTCGGCGTTCACGGCAAAGGTCGCAGATTTTGGAGACAGTCGACACGGCAATCCTCAATTAATGGAAGGCGAGGAAGGCGACGATGACTTGGATGATCTGATTGCAATGACACGCTCAGTCAGTAATATCCGATGGATTGCACCCGAAGTTCTGTCGGGAGACGCCCGATACTCGACGAAAGTGGATATCTACTCGTTTGGAGTCATTCTATCGGAACTTGACAGCCATGAGCTGCCGTTCTCCGACATAAAGCTCTCGAATGGCCAGCCGTTGCCTGAAAGTGCCGTAATTAAGCTGTTGCGTACTGGAGCCATTCGTCCGTCACTATCCGATCGATGTCCTCGCGGAGTGGTAATGCTAGTTATGGAGTGTTTGGCTCTAGATCCAGCACTGCGACCCACGGCAGCACAGGCAGCCGATAGACTACGAGCTTTATTGGAGCGCGAGCGTCGCGTCAGTGACATTGGTGACGACGTGAGTTCGAGCAGCCATAATTCGTTCCTGGGTGCCAAAGACGACCATGGAAGTACCTACAGTAGCATTGACAGCTGCAGTTGCACCATATCGATCGAGCGTGGATTTAGTGATACGGTGTATGAGGAGCGCTAAGGATACGATGAAAATAAATTATAAGCGTTGTAGTGTCAAGTTTGACGCTACTAACGTATCTACTGACCAAAAGGCAGACAATTGAAAAGAAAAATGAAGAACTTGAGAGAAGATTTATGACTAAAGAATGAATACACTGTCTTAGAACAAGAAGACATTGATAAGTTTTATGATACAAGCAAGCAAATAGTATCAAGAACTTCGACTAAAACCCTTTCATTGGGCGGTAATTTACTTGATCACGACGTGAAAATTACGGTCATAATTAACGCTAAATCTGTATTTGTAATAACAACATTTCGAGCCGGAAAAGAGGTCAGTTCAGACTGTTTGTTTTCTGTTCATCTAGCAAGAAGATGGTGACCCTTCGTGCAACAAGACCGGTCATATCGAGACAGAAAAAAGACGGACTAAACTACCACGCTTCTTTTTACTTAAGTCCCACTCTAAATAATCTTGTAAAATGGAGCAATTCAAATAGGACAGAGTCCAGTTGTCTGAATATCTGTCTAAATTGTCTGAATATCTGCAACGAAAAACCTTTAATCTCATCCATTTTTCTCCAGCATACACTTTTTTTTCTTCCATATTCGATTCCACTTTTAGCTATTTGCAATTGATTCCATTATTTTTTAAACAAGTCCAACGTAATACACGTTTGTTTTTATCTCGAAAAAATCCAATGGACACGAACCAAAAAGCTCTGCAGAATGACAAACCACCAATTGAATCTCTATCAATACAAAAAAAACAATCTCAATACGTGGACCAAAATCTGGATAATTCATTTACAAGAACTGGATTCAGTACTCGAAGTGACAATAATCTGGATATTCCCATTATCCCACCCAGAGATCAAGATGGATTTTATAGTACTCATGCAATAGAAAATTATGACGAATGTCTCATGAGTGTCAAGAATATGGAAAATAATATCGATGGATTTTTTTCAAGCAATGCACATGAACCAGAAGTTGGAAAATATGGAGCTATGGATAATAATTTTGTGACTTTTTTCTCGTCTCAACATGGTGGTTTACTCGTGTCGACATTATTTGCTGAACTTGGAAGTACTTGTATCAAAAGAGTGTTATTACCTCTTCTTCAGATGGAACTTGAATTGGAACCGTATCAGGTGGAGGCAGCAAATACTCTTATTTTACTACCATGGTCATATACATTTGTCTGGGGCTTTCTATCAGATGCTGTTCCATTACTCGGAACGCGACGGAAATCATATATTATTGCGGGATGGGTCGTGTCGTTGTTGACAAATTTTGCCATGGCAATTCTCAACTATACTCTCGAGTACAATGCAGTGTCAAGGCACGCAAAGACCGAGGAGACTTTGAAAAGCCATGTGGCAATTATTAATGGATACATTGGACTACTCATGTTAGCCAGCTTTGGAGGTGTCCTTGCGTTAGTTATTGCAGAGACGTACGTGGTTGTTCAAACGCGTCGAGAACCATTGAAAGAACGAGGAAAAGCCTTAGGAACACTCCTCATGACGCAATTTCTGGGCAAACTTGTGGGTCAGATCGTCTCGGACAAAATCATCTTTCACATCACAAAGCTTGGGCTTACACCGATCGTCTCGTTCCGACAAACAGCGTTGTTTTGTATGTTTTGTTCGCTCGTGCCGCTATTCGCGCTAGTTTTCTTCTTCCATGAGGATCCAGACCCGCCAGCGATTAATGATGAAGGAGCAAATTGCAGACCGACCGAATCTCATGAATTCATTTCGGTGGAAAGCGTAGCAACGAGTTGTTTTCAGGGATTGCAGCTGAATTGGTTTCGGCTACGAAGAGCTCTTGCCAAAGAATCAACAGTGGACGTCATTCGTTTCTTTATGGGTTTTGTCTTCCTGTCCGAGTTCAAACTCACGTACCCTCATGATCAGCTTGAGCTTTGGTGCAATTTTACTGAAAAGGCCCAGTCGTTAAGCAACATCATTTTGGGGGTATTGTATATCCTGGCTGTAGCGGTCTGGAAATATTATGCACTCAGTTGCAATTGGCGTTATGGCATTTGGTTCAGCTTGTTGATCATTGTCATGCTTCCGCAAGTCATTTTCTTTTATATGGCTATCTTATCGACCAGTATGCGAAGTCAACAAGCATTCATGTTCATGACAGCGCTACGAGGATTCTTACGGGGAGGTTTGGTCATTTTGGAGGCTGTATTGAGCGCAGAAATCGCTCCAGTTGGTGGTGAAGGAGCTTTTTTAGGCATCATCATCTCCATGGGCAGCATTATGCGACTGTTGTCGACGACCTTTTCGAATGCACTAGCTTTTATGTTTGAAGACCCTACCATAGTTGCCACTGATCAGATACGCGATCAAGTAGCGTTCGGTCTTGGCGTATGCTACTTCGTTAAGCTTATAAGTGTCGTGGCGGTGTTTTCGCTACCCAGACAAAAACAAGAACTTCAGAAACTACATCGTCACGGCGACACGGGTGACAAAAGTACAACATGGTGGGTCCTAGGTTCACTTGGATGTGCATTCTTCATCAGTGCGGTGTTCAACTTGTTAGCCATTATTCCTAGCACTACATGCTTTGAATTGTTTGGTGGTGGCGGCTGCAGCTAGCACGAACTTTCATCTGTAAGTAGTAAACTCACCTTATCACAGCACGAATTCCAGAACTGTTGGACACCCACTTGTCTTCTTGCACTTGCACTAAGCGTTTATTACGATATTTTATCCCAAGAAAGCAAAGCTCTCTGTATATTTCTAGCACCCACTGCCACCGACAATCCCCATGCAAGATGTTGTAGGTGCCATGGCCAGCGCATTAAATACTGTGCTGACAATGAAAGACACTGCAAGACATGCAAGAATCCACCATGTCGTACATCGATTGCCAGTGTCTCCGTAGCGATGCAAACGCTGCAGATGTCGCTTTTGCTTGGGCAAAAAAACCAGCGCCACGAGGCCAAGGATTTGTATGATGTGCGATAGCACCAATGCAAACGCCACTTGCATCCTGTCAGGGTCGGTTCTGCCACCAACAGCGTTTTCGACATCCTTGAACATAAAGCCAATCAAGTTGGAAACAGTATTCGCCATTAGCCGCATACTTGTCGCCATCGAGACAATGATACCGACGAAAGCACCTTCACCGCCCACAGGAGCAATTTCTGCGGTAATTGCTAGCTCTAGAATAACGACCGCAGTGCGAAGGAATGCTGTGAGCGCCGACACGACTGCAAAGATGTCGATATTTCGCGCTGCAGGGTTGAGTGTGGCCATCATGTAGTAGACTAGCCGAGGTGTCATTGTGATAATCACGAAACTTAAGAATATACACCATCGCCAGTCCTTATTCATTAGAAAATATTTCCAAAGTATCACTGGTAGCAACGAAAACACTTCCGACATACTGTTGCTCATTGAGACTGCCTCGGCATTTATTCCACACCATTGCTTTAGTCGAGTTGTCGGGTATGTTAATGAAAACTCCGACATGAAGATGAATCCAATCAAGAAACGCGTAACACGTGAAGTAGACTCTTTGCCCAGAGCGCAACGAAGCCGAATCCAATGACCACGTAATGCGAGCTTTAAGCGTTGATAAAAATTTGATGCCGTTATGTAAGCTCGTTGAAGCTCGGATGCCGATGTCTCCAGGTTTTCAATGGTAGCACGATTATAACGATCACGAGCGGCATTTATAGGTGGAGGATCAGACTTCTCAAAAAAGCACGTACAGAGCCCTATCAGCGGAACAACCGTGTAGAAGACGAAAAACAACATAGTTTGACGCACTGTGACCTTCGGCGTCGTCCCAAACTCGGTAAAGTTAAAGATAGCGTAGTCTGTGATGATCTCCCCGAAGAGTTGACCCGAAAACTGCGCAATAAGTAGCGTGCCAAGAGCTGTTCCTCGGACGGTCATGCGCTCCCGTCGAGTTTGTGCAATGACATATGTCTGTCCGATAGTCAGCGCCACGATACAACCAAAATTGGCCACTTCCAGCAAGAAAATGTAGACGTCCATGAGTACTTCCGTCTGCTTTACCATATCAGCTGTAGTCACGTCGTTACTTTCTGCTTGAGACGAGATAAACTGGTCTAGCAGAGCCATTGAAAAGCACGATAGCATTGTCATTATCCATGCAAGAATTATGTAAGATTTTCGTCTGGAATCCAAAATTGGCACTGCATCCGATATAAAGCCCCAAATAAAGCTGTACGACCAGGGCACTTGTAGTAATACGGACGCTGCATTGACTTGATGTTCCTTCATCTTTAATTCATGCTGAAGCAAAGGTAAAACTGCTCGCTTCAAACATGTCATTAGAATTCCAGCAAACCCGGTTGACACGAGGAGTCCAATATGCCAATGAGAAACCAAATTGACTTCAAATTGTCGAGATAACGCTGGAAATGGTACGGCTGCACTTGATGTTTGCTCTCCTTCTGCTTTTCTTAAACGAGGACTGTCAATAACTGAGTCCACTTGGCTCATGATGACAATAGAACTCATAAAGGGATTGTCTCCTCTACCAAGTATAGGAATGGTAGTTTGAATCATGTCATTTCGAAGACTTTGATCAAAGCCACTTTGGTTAAAGCCACTTTTGTTCAAACCACTGTGTTCAAAGCCACTTTGATGGAGACTTTGCTCGAAGACGAGACTTCGGTTTAGATTCTGCTCAAAAGCACTTTTGTTTAACGTTGGTAAGCCATGACTTGGATGAAATCCTGTACTACTTCCATAGTCATTCTCACTCTCTTCTTGATCGTCTTCTTCCTGGTATCTTGAAAACTGAAGTCGAGCCATTCAAACGTTCAACCAAAAGATGACCTATACACCAAGAGAAGTACGTTCAAACGTCTACGGATTGTTGAATTGCGTGCTGTGGCTGTGGACGGAACCAAAGTCGAAAACAAATCGGGTAAAGGGGACTGTACAATCGAAGAAGACCGTGTGCTGATGGGGGCTTTTGGTCCATTTTCTGGATTCCTTCATGCACATCTCAAGAAAAATGAACCGAGCTGGATAGTTCTATGTAATATCCAAGCTACAGGAACTCCAAGAAGTATTCATGTCACCAAAGCGAATTGCTGGCATGAGAAGGAGCTGTAATAGCTGCAAGTATCTCGTCCTACACGGTTGAAAAGTCTTTACCATTTGATAGCAGCAACTGATTGTTTGCGTGTAAATGAGCTACGACCTCATGCTTTGGCTATAAGATTACTCACATTGTCGACCTCATGTCAACGTTCTCGATTCTTCACTTGTTTTCCTGTGCATTGACACGTTGACTCACATGGTATTTGTGCCATTCCACACTGTCTGTTCAATTGTTTCTTTCCATATTGGAGCTTTTCATAGACTGCAATACGATAAAGAGCCATGAAATGACGGCAAAGAGCGTGCTGGTTTAATGTACTGCCTACAAAGTGGCACCAAGTGCAAGTCGAGAGAACCAAGTGCAAGACTTGAAGAGAGAAAGCTTTGAAAGACGCTTTGAGCTAGAGGATAAAGTGATGCTAGAAGGGGAGTGCTTGTCGTGTTTCGACGTTTATATGGTCAAATAATAAGAATAATGAAGAATTAAAACTACTGGGTTGTACAGAAGACAAAGACGAAGATGGTGGTGGTATTGGCATTGCATAAGGAAATAAAGTGTCGTCGTTATCGATTGATTTTCAATAACGTCAAAGTGTCCATTAGGTCTATAGCAAGTCTCACCAACCGTTTTGATAAACCTAATACCTTTTAAACTTAATATAAAAAGAGGAAATATATATTCAGCAGGACTGTGAGAATGCATTTATATGCTAGAGATGCGGATATGAAACTGTCACGAAAATGGGATCAGACATACGATACGAACATCGACGGTGCATCTTTGACAATGTATAAAATGTCACGTATTATCAGCCAATCACACTGTCAACAGGAAATATCACCTTATCATGTATTGGGTGATTGGCCTTTTTACATATCTAACGCATGTGTGACAAGAGGGTTATAGAAAGAGCTAAACTATAGACAAGTCACTAGATGTGAACATAAAAGTGACATCTAGCAGACGAAGCAGTTTCGACTACGACTTCTAATGGAGTAGCTGCTTGAGATTACAAGCATGAGAATGCTTGATGTACTGAGAAACCAAAGGAATACTTTGCTGCATTATAGATAGGAGCTAAAAAGAGCAGTCAGGGGCCGAACGCAACAATAGTGACGACAGTTCAGGCTAAAAATTACAGGTACCGCCTCGGCGGGAACGCTCGCCAGGAACAGGAGCTGAAGCAAAAACTGGACGAAAGGCTCGCCTTCAACTAGACCAGAAATGACCTCGTAGAGCTACGCTCACTCGACGGCTTCTGCACCTCGCCAATGAAACGATCTGGACAGGTCACTGGGTGGCGACAACATGATTTTAATTTGTATCACATTGCGAGGAACGACAACAATAGCTGCAGAAAGGCACTGGCTTGCAGCGGCAAAAAAGAGGTCTGCAGGCCGGTGCAAGTCAACGAATGTACAGTATATCCGAGTACCGCAACAAAACGAGAAGAACTACATTCTTGCCGGTGGAGCTGTCGGTAGTCCATTGCATGTTGAGCTGACACCTCAGCTTTACAGTAAATTGCTAACTTACCGCATTCAACGCAGTGGCTATAATCCATTCCGTCATCAGCTGCTACTTTCAAGTAAATAAAATTTTCCGTCATGGGCGACAATATTCCATCGCCTCACTCGACACCAGTCTCTGCGTCGAAAACGCCACTTCTTCTGCAATTGTATGGACTGTGCGACAATTTCTTGGTCCGGTACGCAACGCCAAGCTGAGGTGTTACCGCCAGTAGTGGATGATACTGACAGAACTCAAGGAATCTGCTCCTATGATCCGTTGGATACACGAGGCTGTCAAACACCCCGCAGTTGCTATGACTGCCTTAATGCTGAAGTTGAAAAGGAATCGGGAGGTTGCATGATCAACGACATAGGACGATGCATCTCCGTTGCCGATTGTTCACTGGATGTGGTGGCAACAATTCCAGTCGATGACATAGCTGGAGATTTGAGCAACAATGGCTCGATTGACAATGTCAGTGAGAAGATGGAGCCACTGGCTAGTAGACAAACAAGTCAGTCAACTTTTGAGATACAATTTTCAGCTAAGAATACGACGTACTGCGAAGATGACGACGTACTCTTTAACAAAGAACAACTTGCTCATGTCGGCTTTAGTTACGGGACCCAGGACTGTGTACGTGTTGAAGTGTATGAAGTGCCGAGTTGGGAGTGAGCCGTCGGTGGCAGCGACTGCTCGAAGGTAAATCGAGTCGACGTGGAGGATTCGAACGATCGCAATCCTAGACATTACAAGGGGCACGCAATGCTTTGGTCCGTGGCAATCCCGATAATTCTTATAATGGTAGCCACGCTGGCCTTGACTATGATTCACCACAATTGCAGCAAAAGAAGGTTTGAAGAGCGACAGCGAAGAAGAATCATCGTCCTCGCTGAGCTTATTGCAAGTTTTTCACACAGCATGGCTTCAAAATCCAGCAAGAGCGGCACTCGACCTTTGAACTTGTTTGGCTGGCAAGCAATGCGTGTCAAACTTATCGAAAACGAACGCTGTAAAACGCAAGAGAGATTATGTGCACAGATAGGTCTGGGCGAGCATTAAATACATTATTACCTCCACCTGATGGGCGTTCAACCTTCATAAGCCGTCAGCTTCACTGCTGATGCAACCAATAGTTTTAATTTCGCTTTTTTGTAACAGCACAGGACACAACACGTTTCTAGCTAAGCCCATTACGTCACCCATGTACAGAGTCTTCTTGACCGGATTCGCAATGTGATTATTTCGACAAAAACTTTCTCACTCGAATTCACGCGTCAAGACAAATTTTCCCTTGGAGACATTTGACGATACCCATCGCCCTGTTCAACATCTGTAGTAGAAGGTACCGTGCTTGACCTTGCAAGTGCTGGTTGTGTCGATCGAGCACCACTTTCCAATCGACTTTGCTCACTGGACACTAATTTCTCGCGCATACCTGCCCAACCTGATAAACTCAACCGTGGCAAATGAGCTGAAGCTGAAGGACGCCTCGTTTCACGCAGAGCGGCACGAGCGGCACTTCGTGCTTCCCGTAGCTCGACATCTTGTCTTAGACGTCGAGCAAGTTGACGTTTTGTTAATATTGTTGCAACCACAAAGAGTGCAATCGTTCCAAAAAGGAGTCCAGCTACGACTTGAAAAAGAGAGTCATTGAGCACGGGATTGCACCAAATATCCACAATAGCGTCTTGATGGTTTGGAAGCTCACATGAAGCAAGACAAATGCAACCTGATTGACCCACACACTTAGCAGTGGATGACACGTGAATGTCCGCCGTATAATCATTAATCCAATTGGTTCGACAGACTGAGCATATTGTATCATCGGCTGAACAATAAGTAAAGTTGTCCATTGGATACCCTCCAATACTTGATGCCATGTAAAAATTCATACATTCGCCACGAGGACTGACAGCGCACTAATAGGTAATAACAGATTTTTTTTAGAGAGTTTAGAGAGTTTAAGTAAAATGGGTAGAAATAGGTTCAGTTTTTTTACGCACATCTTGACCAGGAATAACAACATTAAGACAGTCAAAACAGGAGCGAGGACGCGAACAAATAGCATTCGCATACCAAGTACACGTGTCTTCGTCATTCAAGGCCTTTCTCTTTGGAGCAATCGTTGGTACTTCAATGGAAACGTCATCATCAGTGGACAAACTCGAGCTTGAGCTCATCGATTTCTTGCTGCCGACGTCGGTGTCAGTCTCGCTGCTTACGCTTGGATTGCTCATTATTGATCAGCGAAATTAGAAAAAAAGATTATGGTAGACTTGGAATATCATAAATACAAAAATGATACATTTGGCGTAATCTGGGCGGAAACAAAGAAAAATCGTGGATTTTTCGAGTAGCCTTTTGATAATGTATGCAAAGAAGAAGAAGAATAGTCTCAGTAATAAAAAAAGCGCAAAATTAGGAGAACCTATTGCTTATATCGATATAAACAGAGGAAAATGTGCTTGGAAAATGACATTTTTACTATTTGCAAATTATCGTAGTGACTGGGGGAACGGCGGCTAACGTCGCATTCCAGGCCTCTCTGCCGTGAAGACAGCCACGACATTGAAGTGCTTTTATTTAAGCATCGGGAAATAGGCATTGCATGCTAATATCACATTCATTTAAAGCAAAAAGTGTTATCACCACCTTTGTTATGCACGATAAAGCGATAAAATCACATGCAGTGAATACAAAAGTAGATACGGTGGTCATTGAGGTTCCAGTACAAATGGTTTGTGAGTTGCATTCATGACCGACAAGTGACGATTTGCTACTACACCAACAACAAACACCACTCAATGTCATTATTAAATCATTTACTCGTTTAGAAAAATCAATTTACTAGTAGATACTTTACGTGGTATTTGTTCCAGAAGTTGTTACTGTCGTGGTGGTTTGTAAAGTCTGATAGTGCTGGTGTTCCAAGTCCAAGCTCGCTTGTTGTGGCTCGTACGTAACGCAACTTCGCTTCAGTGCTAGTCCGTTTCGTTGAACAAACTTTGAGACCCAATTCTCTGAAGCTTTAAAAGATGTATCTGAGCGCTGGAACATGTGCTGTGCCGTTTTGGCAATCCATTTCCTCGTCACTCGATCTTTTTTTGCTCGTTCTTGAATTACGACGACCAGTAATTTCTCCTCCGAGTCTTCCAAATATGGTTTACGTCCTCCTCCAGTGACACGTTTTTTGCTGCCGGAATCGTTCATAATCTTGTCTCGATTTTTCCACCATTTGCGGAACGAAGACGCACTAACGTCCCAATTAAAATGTTTTTCGGCTCGTGACGGGACCCCATTTCCAGGTCCCATTATCCATTCAATAGCCTCTTTTTTCATACTTAATGGAATACTTTTCCGTTTGGAGGTCGAACTTGGGGCTGGAATGGGTATATGATGTGAAGTAGGTACTGAAGTAGAAATTGCATTTTCCAGTGTGGTGGACCCAATTGTTACTGCTGCTGACAACGGTATTATCTCGATAGGATGAGTACGGTCGGACTTGATAGACTTTTTGCATTCTGGCACTGATGAAGTACCGGTATTCGAGCGAAGATCTTGAGTCTGATTGAGCGTGTGTGTTTGTTCTTGTAGCTGCGTCAACAAATGTTGTATGGCTGGATCCAACGTCCCATCAGGTCCCGTGGCGGCATTTACCAGAGCAAGCACCTCGTCTGCTGACGGTGCCTTGATCATCTTATTACAAGCCGGAAGAAACCAATTAGTAGCCCGCCTTGAAATATGAAGGATGTTAAGTTAGTAACTCTAAAGATGAGTACAGAAGTTTAAAATATGTGGTACACATGATGCTTTATTCTTACTTCACAAGTCGAAAACACTGCGTACACTTGAAAAATGGCGGCGGGTCATTCATTTGTCCGCCCGAATATTGTTGTAAGGAGCTCGAAAAAGGCAGCGGTCTTGATGCGGCTATTGCTCATTAATGTCTGTCAAGTCAGAAAGTAAAGCTTGGGTCGCTTGGTCGAGGACAAAAGGTGTTACGACGTTATCAAGGACTTGAAATGAATATAAATCTTTTGGCTCGCGAAATGGGGCACACTTACTTTCAGTTCGATCTGCACTCTTCTGCCAATGCACTATTCTTTTAACTGTTATGTCTTGCGTGCATGAAGCGTGTTGTCCCCACTCCTGACACCATCTACTTGGATTTCTTGTCTCCAAGACGTTCCGTGCACAACAGTATATGCCACCCGAACTGAGTCTGCACCTTCGTCAGCGTACCCACTTCTCCCTCAAACACAACCTTGTCAAACTGAGGCACCATCTCTCCACGTCCAAACATTCCAAGATCGCCCCCTTTCTTACCCGATGGACAGGTACTGTATTTACCAGCAAGTTCCGATAACTTCCCTTTTTTATCTTCCGCTGCGTCAATTTCCTTAAACAATTTGTCTGCCTCGTCTTCAGATTTGAGTAAAATGTGGTACGCATGAGCTCGAGGTCCCCCTTTGGCTCCACGAACCCCCAGAGCTATGATAGCAATGAGGATGATTGGACCGAGAAAAGGCATAACCTTCATTAAAGTCTTATTAAGACTACGAAAGTTGTCCGGCTCTTCCTTTCCGTCCAGTCGACGGGAGATGAGTACAAGGTGCCACCCGAATTGGGTCTTGACCTTGTGCACCACTCCAATTTCGCCCTCAAAGGCGACCTGGTCAAACTCAGGTACCATCTGATCTCGACCGAACGTTCCTAAATCACCCCCTTTGCGGCTGGATGGACATTTGCTGTGCTCTTTGGCAAGATTGGCAAACGTGACGAAGAGGTTGGGGGCCTCGCTCAGCTGAGCGTTGAGATTGTCGGCCTCGACCTCCGTGTCCACAAGAATGTGGCTGGCATGCGCCTCGATAGAGACAGGGGCATCCTCTTGACCTGCGGTAGAGACGACGCCGCATAAGAGCAATGTCGTCAGAAATGCCAAGATCTTGAATAGCATTTAGATTTATGACTTAAACTGGCTTGACTAGGCTTGGGTTTTAGTCAATTCGATAGTGATGGCTTGATTCGATATTTGGCGAGCATCTCCTATTTTTCATTGGTTGATGTAGGATTATATGAAAGCTCAATTGCTCTTTTTAAATTTCTAAATGTTAAAACAAATTAAACATCGTATTGTGTCGACATTAGAAATAAACGTCAAAAAAATAGAAACCTTATAATAAAATAAGGGAGGCGCTATTCATCACGCACCTTTTGACTACCCAAATTTATTTTAATCTGGTTGGTCTCAATGCCAAATCAGAACATTTGTTTTTATTAAGTTTGGAATATTGCGAGCACTCTAGCCTGTCTATGGCAAATCCGATATTACCGACGTCGCACCAGAGCTTCTAAAGCAGCAGCAACATAACGGACGCCATTAACGAAATTTGTATATATTGTTATAGAACTAGCCCATGCGAAAATAAAACCTTGGTCTCCTGCATGGATTTGATCAATACACATTTCAATCGGGCTCTTTGAGTGCTGCAATTTGCCAGGCTGACGAGGTCCTGCACATCTACATATGACTAGGGGTATTTTCGGAGCAGATAAGATTAAAAGCTTTGACGTCACCGTCTTCCTTATCGTCGATCCTTCGTATGATTTGAATTGCTGCTGGAATAGCACCGCACAGGATTACGGTATGGTCATGACGTCATTGAATAAAGTCACTGGAAAAGCTTCAAGACGATCGAAATGGAAAGGCTTTAAGGTAGCTCATAGTAGCGAACTATGGACCTAAATACATTCACTTTGGATTTCAAAACAGCAGGTTGACAGCCGCAACAAGCACTTCGACTCACGATGACTGTAACGGGGCTAGAACGTACCGTCACTAGTGAGCTAGTGACAGTACGTTCTAGCTCACACGTGCGCTTGAGGAAGACTCAAGCCCAAGTTTAAAGTTTAAAGGAATTTAACTCTGATTTCTTATTTTGTTTTTACTTCGTACTAAATATGTAACGGGGCACCCTCCGACTATACTGATTACAGTATAGTCTACTTTCACTGATTACAGTGAAAGCAGGTGCCTCAATTACCTCTCTTACACAAGAGGCAGAGGAAGCTTTACTTCTAAACAAACGCTTAGAAGTAGAGGAAAAGAAAAACTGTATTTAATATAGTTAACTATCTTAATAAAACTAATCTGTTATAACCTATGTTAACTATATTAAACTACAACTATGTATGTCGACAACTTGCCCTCCACTCATTGCGCGCGTCCATCGGTCATTGGTCAGCGCGTTGGTTGATATGATGGCCCATATCAACCAATAAGAGGGCATCTCCAACTTCAAGGAGATCTAGGAACAATATTATAAGAAAAGGTAATATTGTCAAAATATTATTAGTTATAATAATATTTTATTGACACTTCATATAAGTGTCAATATTATGTAACGAGCTCACCCCGTTACAAAATACAAAGAATTTTAAGTCGTAATAAATACGATGGTGTTCCCGCCTTTTGGGAACCATACATATTCAGGATAATTTATCATTGGTCCATGTTACAACAGGTCCTGTTCAGGCTAAAACCCCGAGCCTTTTGTTCTTGGAATGCCACCACACAATCTTTGGGCTGCCCTATTGAGAAATGTGACGATGCGACAGGGACTTCGTACCACACATTTTGGGCTTGCTCTGGAGCACGCAGACTTTGGCGTGTATTGGCAGAGCCATAGGAAGCACTGGGTTTTTGCGAGACCTTGCCTGGACCGGAAAATACTTGGATTGTTGGAAAATTGCAATTCCTGTGGCGGTATAAAAAAGAGGAGACGCGGTTTTTGCAGCGTTACTAATAGGTCACGGAGAGCGTGCTAGTGGAGTAATTTGATCCGATTTAGGCCTTTTGAAAAGTTGGATGTGATTACTGTTGTCAACTCGAGATGTACCCATATGCCGGTAATGTATTCGTGTTTATGTGACGTCATCGTAAGACGTCACGGAATTGCATCATAGATTGACGTCATTGCTGAAGCCTTTACAAAAGGTTCTAGATGGCTCGAGAAGGATAGACTTTGAGGCAGATTTTTGTGAACTAAGGTACTATATGTAATCACTTTACACTTTACCATCAAGTTCTTAACTACCTTCATTTACTTTAGATTATAAGCCCAAGCCCCGCAGACTCTGCCCAAGACCTCAACTACGCCTTCGCCATGAAAAACACGCTTAACACGCGCATCAAAAAGTTTGACGGAGCCAACTTCCACACGTGGAAGTTCAAGATGCAAATGGTGCTCGAAGAGCGTGATCTGTGGGACGTTGTCAGTGGAGAGGTCAAGCTGGAGCACTGCGCTAACGCGTTGTACCAGGCAACCTTCAAGAGGAAGTCTCACAAAGCACTAGCAATCATCTGTCTCGCGATGGAGGACTCGCAGATACCGCTGGTCCGGTCGGCAAGTGGCGCGCATGATGCATGGTCACGACTGGAAGGACACTTCGAGAAGAGTAGCCTCGCGAACAAGCTCTTTCTTCGTCGACGTTTCTTAACAACGATGATGGAGGAAGATGATGGTATGCTGGAGCATATCAACAAAGTTAAGACCCTGGCGGAGCAGCTCGACGCGGTTGGTGCTTCGGTCAGCGAGGACGACTTGGTTACGCTTCTTGGAAGCTTGAGTGAGTCGTACCAGTTCCTCATCACGGCATTGAAATCGTGTTCCGACACACTGACGTGGGAGCTAGTGACGTCTCGGCTGCTGCTTGAGTACATGAAGCGTAAGGAACAAGGTGGTATCATCGACGGAGCTGCGCACGGCCAAGGTCAAGCGTTCATGACGAGTGGCAACATGAAGAGCAAAGGAAGGCAGGCACCGAAAGCTAGTGCTTGTCATTATTTGCGGTGATCATGACCATTGGATCGCCAAGTGTCCAATGAGGATTCAACAGAACTCGCAGAGAAAGAGGACGCAGCGAGCGACAATCGCGCAGAGTGAAGACTATTCTGGCGACTATTTGTTATCGGTCGGTGGTGACACTGGGGTTGCAAAGTCATGTGAAGTGTGGCTGGTCGACTCGGGTGCGACGCAGCACATAACAAATTCCAAAGAATACATGAAGAACTTCAAGAAGATAACTCCGGTGGACGTGCATCTCGCAGACGATGGTGTGGTCCAAGCTCTGGGAACCGGCGACATTGTCATGTCAACGAAGACAGCACATGGTGTTAAGAGGGTGTACTGACGAACGTGTGGTACATTTCCAAGTAATCGAGGAACGTGTTTATAGTCAGAAGATTTACTAAGAACGTCGGGCCAGTGACCTTCGAGTGCGACGAATGATTCGTGAATACATAAGGTCTCAAGTGGAAGCTCGGTGCTCGCGAAGGAAAAGGTCTTTTTAAGCTGTGCATGACGCCGATGATGCCTGAAGAGGCCAATGCAGCAAGTTCGAAGGATAGCAAAGGGAATCCACTTCGTACCTCTGGCACCTTCGACTTGGCCACATCGGCTATGGAGGTCTAAGTGGCATGGTCAAGAAGAACTACGGGACAGGCATCGACATCAAGTCGGTGAATCAGTGGGAGTTGTGTGATGGATGCGCTCTTGGCAAGCAAACGCGAGTCAACTTTGCTAAGTACTTGCCAAGCCATCCCACGGAAGTTTTGGAAGTGATCCACAGTGACGTGTTCAGTCCCATGAAGACTTCGACGTCAGAGGGCAAGCGCTATTTCGTCAAATTAATTGACGACAAGTCGCACTTTTGCGTGGTGTACTTGATACGAAGCAAGTCCGAGGTAGCGACCAAGTTTGCGGAGTTTGTTGCGCTGGCTGAAACCCAAACTGGTCAACGCATCAAGACTTTACGCAGTGACAATGGTGGCGAGTACACTTCTGGAGCGATGGCCAATTTTGCAAGGATCGCGGCATTAAGCAGAAATTAACACCCCCGTACACGCCTCAGCTGAATGGAGTGGAAGAACATATGAACCGTACGCTGGTGGAATGTGCTCGCTGTATGCTGGAGCACGCCGGATTGTCTAAATCGTATTGGGGCGAAGCAGTGATGACGGCCACGTTTCTTCGACACCGTTGTCCTACACGCGCCATCAGGCAAGACAAATCCCCGTACCAAGTGTGGGAAGGCAAGAAACCATTGCTGTCGAACCTCAAGGTGTTCGGATGCCACGCGTACGTGCATGTACCGAAGGAAAAACGGTCCAAATTCGACTAAAAAAATCGGTGCGGTGTCGTTTCCTCGGTTATTCGGAACCTGAGAAAGCGTATCGGTTCGAAGATCTGGACAGCGGTCGCTTGTTGATAAGCCGTGACGCTCAGTTCATGGAAGACGCCTTTAACGGTGGGAGACGTGAATATGCACCAATAGAGGTATTAGTGGATCTACAATATGAAGAGGAAGATGCCACGGATGCAGACTTTTCGTCCAGTTCAAGCGAAAACGAAGATGAACCTGCGCGAAAAGAAGATTTTGCCCCCGGCAGCAAGCGACACCCTCGGACGCAGTCAATGAAAAACGCTAATGAAACGCCGAGCAGCAAGCGCTTCGCGTCGCAAAATGGTCGTCAGCCACTTAAAGAGATGTCTGCAGCAGCAGAGGAAAGCGACAGGTATGAGAAAGCCTACGTCGTGGATTCAGTGGGAGAAATTCCGGCTACGTTTCAGTCGGCAATGGAATCCAGCGACGCAGATTAGCGGAAGGATGCGTGCGACTCGGAGATGGCATCGCTTCACAGGAACAAGACTTTGGTTCTCGTTCCACTGCCAAAAGGACGCAAGGCAATTGGCAACAGATGGGTGCTTCGCGCTAAAGAAAACCAATCAGGGGAGATTGAGCGGTTCAAGGCGCGGCTTGTGGCCAAGGGATTCTCACAGAAGCATGGCATTAACTACGAGGAGACCTTTGCGCCGGTGGCCAAATTCACATATATAAGGATTTTGATCAGTTTGGCTGCCAAGTACAAGCTCACAGTGCACCAGATGGACGTGA